TCTAGAGCAACGGCAAACTTGCCGGCGGATGGAAGGGTAAATTTGTTACATGGAGAGCGGGCTGTCGGCTGTGTTAAGTTCTCTCCTTTTTCCCGCAAATAAACGCAAAATTTCGAGGTAGAGAAAGGACGACAGTTTGTATCTTAAAATACGAATGGAATATGCCACACAACTATCGTAAAAGAAATCGAAACTGAAGCGAAGGTACAAGTATTTTTAATTATTTTTGCTGGCCTGTTGTAATGCGCGCCAAACAAGGTGCGAGAAAGCTGTCTGTCTCAAGCGAAGAATTAAAAAGCGTCATAACCAATTATATTTGAAATATCTACTGTTAGAGCGGTTTATTGTCATAATAAAACCCCTTTCAGTGCATCAAGACCTTGAAAGTATTCAAAGCTTTTTAAACGCTTTCATAGTATTGTGTATTGTCTTATGGGCTTTGTCGCGAATTTGATCGTCAACAAACCATTAATTGATGAATGAAGGGGTAAGTTTCTAAAGAAACTGTGGTGCTAACACCAAATTTTCCAATCTTTCTTCGGAAGAGTGGTCGGCACTAAAAAGTCTAAAAAAACGCAAAGACATTGTCATTAAGGCGGCCGACAAAGGCGGTGCAGTTGTTGTTTGGCGGGCCGACCTCTATCAAAAAGAAGCTTTGCGGCAACTTTCTGACACCTCCTTTTATGCTAAAGTCGACAAAGATCTCACTTTAATTAACCAAAACATTGTCAAAAATACGATTAACGATCTCATAGCTAAACAAGAATTGCCGGCCACTGCTAAAAATCTCATCATTACTACTCCTAGAACTTCGTGTATTTACTTCTTACCTAAAATCCACAAATCTAACAACCCAGGTCGACCCATCGTTTCTGCCTGCAGTTGTCCCACTGAACTTATTTCCAGCTATTTAGACAAAATTATGGCACCTACTCTCGATCCAAGAGAAAAACGTTGCATTCACCATTCGTCACCCCTAGTTTCACATTGGTCAATCTTTTTATTAAGACCTCATGCGTCTAATGGCTCAACGAGAACGGATGATAAATCTTTTCATTAACAATGTTTATTCAGTGTCATAAGCAATCTGTGTGATAGCGCTGAAATATTATAAGCCAGTCGAAAAATTTACTGTTTATTTTTCTGAAATATAAACTCTTCATTGAACATGCATAGTGTAGGCAGGTGCTAAGTACCTTTAGGGACTTACCAGGGCTTACTGCAAATAGATACCGACTTCTGGTTATTTTAAGGCAAAATGTATTTTAGCTGTATCGCAAAAAAATTTTTGGACGTGACGTATGTAGTGTGCCCACGGTATGACTTTTAGAAGAAACCTCTGAAAACATGGCGGCATCTCGGTACACGTACTGACAACAAAACGGCGCTGTATATTTCTAACTGGATGGTTAAAAACGTCGGAAAAAACACTTGGATTCCTGCTCGCCACCACTTATTTCTTCTTTTTTTTGTGTTGATTATAATAACGTAAACTTATTCCAGCGCGAAGACGTCTCCGTTTTCTTCCAACCCTGCAACCCAGGAACCAAAAAAAATTAGAGACGTCTGTACAAACAGGCTTCGCATTTAGATGTTCTGTTCTTTTTTCGCACAGATTAAATTTGACGTAAGCGACCGGGAACTGGTGATCCCACTTTGCGACGGCCAACATGACCACGAAGACGAGGGTTACTCTCACGAGGTTGTCCAAAGAATTTTAGCGGCGAAGGATGAGGGGCTTGTGAGCGATAAAGCCTACCATGAACTGAGGATGGCGCTCCCCGAAAGTGTCCGAAGTCACGTCCCGCCACTGTCAACAATATTGCAGGAAAGGAGGACACAAAATAAGGAAATCGAAGTAATTCCAATTCCAGAGGTAAATTATTTTGTTGGTAAACTTATATTACACTCGAGGCAGTTATAGCTTTTTAAAGTACGATGTAGGTGGCTCCCCACAGTAAGTTTAACAGGATGACAAGCGGAAGCCATATAATTTCTTATGCATAAGGGTTTGTGTTCCTGGCATTCACGCTGATTTATCAACAACAATCCAAGATTTTTTATTTTGATCATTTGTGTGTGTCAAAGGTGCTATGGCAACAAGCATTGAGGGGTTAATGCTTTAATGTCCCCTGCATCATTGGACACGTGAGTAATGGATTCATTGTTAAATATCCCTTCTGCTTCAACTTGCACGGTTCTCGGCACTTCTTTGGAAAACTGTCCTGTCTGCCAGAATTGCCTTCAGCGTCTTCTTTGTGCACTTTACTAGTCTCTCCTACGCTCCTCCAAAGTGCGGGGCACTTGGTGGCTAACATTTCCACTCAATTTCCCAAGGATGCACAGAAGTTTGTATCCTTTCTTCACCAATAGTTTAATGCATTTCCGCAACTCGTTATTTGCACCGACAAATTATCACTGTGAATGCTCTGCGGTCATCCACGTGGCGCAATGAATCTCTTCAATGCCATAATGAAATGATCTGTCAGAAGATCGTCCACAAGTTCGAGGTGGCAGGCTCTAGTACTCATGCCTAAGGTATGTTCTTTTTGTTTTTGTTTTTTAAGTCCCAAACTTGTGCAAGATTGAATCTCGTTCGCGGACTGTGGAGACATTGTTATCTCATAAAATATTATCCTCACCACATTCCTCGTTGGGTATTCAGCTCAGTTTTTGAATCTATAGTTCAATCGGGTTGTTCACCTCCATGACCTCTATGGGTGCGCCTCGCTTCACAGAAACCATTGTATATGTAGAGGTTGTAAATATTATCGGGACTATGATATGGTGCCTCCTTGGTGGCTTTTCCTTATGAATTGGTGATTTTTTATTTTCACGGGAACGTTCCATAAGGTATCATTTTTTCTCTTTCCCACAGCATACAAGAAATGCAGACTACGGCATTTATCCCCATTGTACTTGTTTCTTGTGCGAGTATGTTGAAATTCACGGGTGTAGGCCAATCCATTGTTATCTCTAAAACCCGATCAAAACCAATAGGTTATTTGTCAAAATTTTTTTTATAAATGTATCGGGATCATGGTTCTTCTGTGAATGCATATCGTGCTGTGTCTATAGAGCCTACTCGATACAATGGACACCTTAGGGTGAGTGTTTGGTTTTTTTCCCAAGTTAGAAATTAATAGATGTCCCTGTCAAACATGTAACACTCGTAAACTAGAAGGAAAGTTTTTACCTCCCTCGTGGTTCGTAGAGATTTATTGAGGGCGAGTTTAGAAGAACCATGATCCTTATTGTGTCGCATACATTATTTTAAAATGAATTTTTTGCTCTCTTTAGAAAATTGTGTTTTTAATAACCAGTTGCATTCGTGGAGAGTACCCAAGAAGAGTAACTGCAAGCCATACTACAAATTATGTCAGCGGTCTCTTTTTACTTGGCTAGGTGTCAAGTTTTTTAATTGCCATAAACGTTGTAATAAATATTTTAATAAACATTATTTAATCTTGTACGCATGCGTAAAGAATTACATGTGTCACACATACCACAACCCCCGAAACCAGTTATCATTCCCCTTTCAAGTAAAAAAAAACAAAAAACCAAAAAAAAAACAAAAAGAAAGAAGAACTACGTCATAGGTCCGGTTGGGAGAATTCAGCCCTGAGTGAGTGGATACCACTACTATAACTCATAAAATCTTCAAAACTAGATTGCCAAATCATTGTCCTTACTCTAAAATAATTTGTCACTGATGATTGAAGTAAAGTATATATCCAATGTTCCATGTCACGACGATGTCGTTTTTTCAGGTCAACCAGCCTTGATGACTTTAATCAGCTCTAGAAGGCTATTACCCTTCTGCGTGTGGTCTTTAATTGTGGTCTTGAAGCGTACTCGGCTTCAAAGGGATGTGCTGCGTCATGTTGATGCTCTCAATCTCTGAAGCGACATCTTGGCTTCTATCGTAGGGTAAATAAGCCCGACTTAGGGTGTCGGCCAGATGCATGGGGGAGCCTTTCTTGTAGCCCAGTTTGATGTTGTACAACTGAACTCGCATGAGCATGCGCTGAAGCCTCTTCGGAGCTCGATGCAGTGGCTTCTTGACAATAACTTCCAGAGGCTTGTGGTCTGATTCCACAAACACTTCTCAACCGTCAGTGTAAGTATGAAACCTTTCCAAACCGTAAACCACAGCTAAAGGCTCCTTCTCAATCTGGGCGTACCGAGACTCTGCATCGGTTAGCGCACTGCTCGCATAGGCAATAGGCTGACCCTTCTGAAGTAGGACAGCACCCAGTCCTTTATCTGATGCATCGCACTGTAAGGTGAGGCTCTCTGTTGAGTCGAAAAATTTGAGGTCAGGTGCCTTTGTGATCAGCAGCTTCACTTGTTGGACAGCACTGTCATGTATGTCAGTCCAGAACCATTCTACATCTGGTGAAGTGAGCTTACGGAGTGGCTCCAATGCATCACTTAGTTGAGGCAAGACCTTGCTCAGATAATTTGTGAATCCAATAAATCTTCGTACACTGGCCACGTCAGTTGGTATGGGCATTTCCAACACCGCCTTAACTTTTGCGGGATCTGCTTGAAGACCCTTCTCTGATATCACATGACCCATAAATGGGACTTCTTTGCGTCGCAGATTCACCTTGTCCTGGTTCAACTTAATGTTCTGCTCCCGGCACCTCCGCATTAAGGAGTGGAAATTGCTGTCATGATCTGTCCGTGCTTCTTCCACTGTAGACCCCTCGCCAAAAATCAAGATATCATCATGAATGGTTAACACACCTGTCAGGCCGTCAAGTGCGTCAAATGGGCATGTGATGGCATCAAAATCTTCCAAAGGGAGAATTGAATGTTGTTAAGCGTGAACTGTCATCGTCAAGCTCAACTTGCCAGAAACCGTTCTTTACGTCCACAGTGGAGAACACTTTAGCCCTGGTAAGCACAGGTAGAATGTCTTCAACTGTCAGGGTTGGATAGTGGCTCCTCCTAAGAACTTTGAAGAGGTCCCTGGGGTCCAGGCAAACACGAATCTATCCATTAGGTTTTTGCACAATAACGAGGCTCGAAACCCAAGGGGTAGGCTCTATGACTTTTTCTATGATCCCGAGACTCTGCAGCCGTTCCAACTCTCGTTTCAGCTTTCCCTTGAGCGCGACAGGTACTCGTCTAGGAAGATGGACTACTGGCTTAGCATTCTCTTCAATTTCCAGCTTGTACTGCCCCTTCAATTTTCCAGTGCCTTGAAACACATCTGAGTACTCCTTTAAGACTTCTTCCATCGAAAGGGGGCCCTGACTACCGCGCTGAACCTCAGTATTGACGGTCATAACATTTTGGTGTTGCACCCTGACCAAATCCGTCTGCTGCATCGTTGGATTTCCTAAAATCGGTGTTTACTGGTCATTGTCCACAACAACAAATTCGATCTGATACGTTTTGGAATTCTTGGGGTTAGATACTGCTACAGTGCACGTTCCAAGAGGTTTCATGATTGTTTTGTTATACATTGTGAGTAATTTCCGCGTGGGAAACAGTTCGACTTCAGCTCTAAGAAACTTTGCGGGAATCAAATTGCATGTCGCGCCACTGTCCAGTTGAAACTTAACTGGTGTGTTTTCGACGTTAATTGTAGCAAAGTTAATTTAGCATATTCCAGATCGCTTGCCACATGAACCCTAACTACTTGACTTTCATCCATCGAGTGGAGCGTGAGGCAGTATTCATCGATCTCACCTTCACTTTCTGATTCGACGACGTTCACTCTTGTTTTAGAAAGGCATTGTGAAGCGAAATGATTCATTCTTCTGCAAACCGAACACCTTTTCCCAAACACGGGGCAACTTTTCTTGGTAACATGATGTTTTACACCACAGAATTTGCATCTTAGTACTTCATTAGGACTGGAATCTCTCGCGTTCCGATCAGCATTTTCGCCTTTTGTTCGCAGACTTGTCATGGCTTTTGTTAGCTGACACCTTGCCGCCTCGTTTAGTCCTTCAATGAGTTTACTGCTTCGCCCTCTTCCAAAGTTTTGGTCCGTGTTTTTTACAACTCGGCTGCTCTACAAATGCTGAGGCATCTTTGTAAATCAAGATCTGGGATCTTAAGCAGTTCTTCTCGAAGTTGCCGGTCCTGGATTCCTCAAATGATCCGGTCTCTTACCAACAAATCTGTAAGATCACCGAAGTTAGAGGTTGTCGCCAACATCTTCAAATCTGTAACGAACTTTCCTTGTGATTCACCAGGGTCCTGATTACGGGAGAAAAACTTGAACCTCTCAACAGTTTCATTTTTTCTGGGATTACAATGCCCGTCGAACGCTTGTAACACCTGCGTTAAGGTTCTTTCCGACGCGGGAATTTCGAAGGCCAACGTATCATAAATTTCTCTTCCTTGACTGCCGATTAAATACAGAAATAACTTTACTTTCGTCACTTCGTCTCTGCCGTTCATTGCCAGATCCATGTACAATTCTAATTCTTGCTTCCATCTTTTCCAATTGTCAGCCAAGTTTGTCGCATCAAAGACCAACTGAACGGGAGGTTTAAGCTGTGTAATCCTGTCAGTCGTTCCCGCATTTGCACTTGCCTGTTGTCCGTCCGTCGGCATTGTAGGTTTCTTTCAAAAAGTTTCTGTCTATCCCGTACTGACTCCTGACACCATGTTTAGTTACGAAGGAATCGTTTCATAACTCCCATCTAGTGTTACATCAACTGCTTTATTCAGACAAAACCTGTCCTTTTTAGTTTAACACTCAAACGAGGCTACAAACTAAACAATGCCTATTGTTACAACTTGGATGTTCCTTGATACACAAACACGCGTGATTAGATATCCAAACACACGTCTTAGGATATCCAAACACGTGTATTTGATAGTCAATTTCCAAAAGAATACAGTACTTGAACAAATGTTTGTTAACTTCCACGATTACAGTAATCATTCTTTGCAGTTAACATTAACGTTTACATTGCAATTCAAGAACATTCCAGAATTTAACTCATTTAAAATTCCACGCACACTGCTTTCACATTCCAAAAGTTCACTGCTAATACTCGTGGCTTCCGTTACGCTTCTAGATGTACAAGGTCCAAGTAGTTTCGACACTTTAACACTCTGCTCTGCTTAGGTTTCCTATAGGTTAACAAGGCATCTGAACTATCTCCGGTCCTTTCTCGAACGAGTTTTTACTTCAACGCCTGAATTGAACAACTTCGTTGCACAGGCAATTCTCAAAGAATGAGCTGTTTTCGGTTTACTTCCAACCTCCGTGCACATGTTTGGCAAGATTCCATTCAGCTGTAAATTCAAACTGGACTTTTATCAAAGACTAATTTTTGTTTACCTGGTCTAAGACAAAAAGAATCAATTTCCTTAGCTTTACACTCTACGAGACCAATGTACAGTCGATATACTTCTAACAGACGATGATCGTGTTTCTGCCCGATATCGTGACAAATGTGCTTAACACTATTCGGAACATATTTGAGATCACACAAACCTCCGTGAAATGTTTTGCAAAAATCTTCTTCAAATTTAATAAAGTTTGGACCTAACTCAAAATTCTTCAAACTCAAATTCCTATTCTCACTTCTTCTCAATCTGAAAATTTTTCCGTTGAAGTAATAAACAGAATTCAAAAGAGACGTGGTCCACAATCTAACAGTCCTTTTCCCAAAATAATTCTTCATCTTCATTTGTAACTGCCTTCTTTTCCGGCCTCTTGGTTTCAAGATAAACACCTTGGCGCGTAGCATCCTACATTTCGGCGTCCAAACATCGAAAAATGGCAAACTTAAAGAGAAGTAAAGCATAACTTTCACAAACTTTTTATATCATGTAAAGCGCTCTGGACTAAAGCACAACTCCTGGAAAAGTACCTCTTATAACTTCTGTCCAATGGATTCAACGCTTTCCCTCCATTTTTATCCTTCAAATGTCGCTTCAACCCACAAACAATTCCATACAACGAACGAGGCGCATAACGATCACCCACCTCCTGGACGAACTTATTAAGCCAGAAGTTCAGGGAAAAGCTGTCCAGGTCTTCCAATTTCGGAAAATATCAACAGCCCACTTATCCTTCACTGAGTTAGGCTTTGAACGTTCGTGCAAAGAAACTTCTTCTTTGCAACTTTTCGGCGGTTGAAACCGGGAAGACCTTTCCGCAGCCATCGCCAGAAATCAAGGACATTTCGAGCCCGCTAACAATTATCAGCGGTATATCGTATTACACTCCGGAACAATAGAATATCAAGAGAATTCAATATGCCGGCGATCACGGCTCGATCTACAAAGAAGAGTGTTTCGTATCATGACTTATAGAATTTGAGCACCGCAGATCTTCTATTTGATGAAAAGAAAAAGAAAAGAAGACCTGCAAGCAAATCTTTGGGATTTTTCGAGGCAGAGCGATGACATGATGTCAGAATTTTGATTTGCTTTAATTTAATTTTCGCGCTAAGACTACTGAATTTGCATTCAATGCCTGGCATATTTTTATTCCGAAAAGGACCGAGAACTAATTTATTTCCCTGCAAGAACATAAACAAATATGGCCGACGATTCGAAGATCAGCGTTGCTCGTGTTAACTATTTCAGTTATAGTTTTCAACATTGCGTCTCGTCACTTACTCAACATGGAAAATAAGGGATATTCTGGCGCGTTGGGAACTTTTTTGATGGGAGGAAATGGCAATTTTACAGGATATTTGGACGCTTCGAACTCTGTAGCAGTCAATTCCATCGAGAGCAGTTGACTTTATTGATGCACTTTCCTGTAATAGGCGAGTGTTTAGGATGGAGAACGACGGATTTTGAAGAAGTGTATGGCGACCTAGGTCAATAATCAATGACAAAAGAACTGGCTCGGGAAGTAAGTGGTTTTTATTTATCGAGTTCCTGTGAGGTTTGATGAATAGCAGAATCAGTACTGAATATGTCTCGATCGAGAGCAGACGGGACTATGAGCTCCTGATTGTTATATTTTAGAAATTTTACAAATTTCCATACAGTTTCTTATATTATTTGGACGCCATTATGGACGAAATGCGCAAGCTCGGCCGCCATCTTGTCCAATATTTCTGCCGATGGCTGCTTCTTCCATTTCTCAAAATTGCAAATGAGGACGCCAATGAAAAGTGTGACTGCTTTTAATTAAAAAGCCGAAGTTGTGAAAAAGCACAACGCCTTTCATGACACTCACTAACAACTATGCACGTGCGATGATGAAACAAAAGAAAACAAAAACTAACTATTTTTATAATAAAGTTCGGATGTAACGCGCGCTGTCATTGGTTGAAAGAGCGTGCTCTATGAGAGTATAGAGCATAGAGCTGAGCTAAAGCTGTCACGCCATCTGCCAAATTGTACCATGTTCGACCTTTTCCGGGACTTATTTTTAGCTTTTTTCCGATAATTGAAAGTAAAATTTCGGAACAAGCGAGCCGGCAAGTAGCAACAGAAGAACCAAACAAAGGTTTGTAAACTTACCAGGCGCCGTAATTTACGTTATTTTAACGTGAGCAGATACGAAAATCCTCAAAGGAAAAACAAAATAGACATTCCAAGTTTTAAAGATTTTCACGCTCAGTTAGATTGCAAGCTTACGTACGGAAATAAAAATCAAACACAGCTAACACTCGTATAGTATGTAAAGTTCAGTGTTCAAATACAAAACTGAACAAAACAGAAATGATGAAAAATATAACCAAACTGGCATAACTGTTAACATTCATTCTAATCATGACGGTGTCTGCGCGAATATGATCATGCTGAAGTCCATCGCGGCTCGCTTATCATGGCGATCTCCGGTCATCACAGTAGAGCAAGCCTCAGAAACTACATCGGCCGCCCTTCGAGTAAAAAAATAAGAGCTTGCTCTGATATCCTTTCCGATACGTTGAGTGGAAAGTCACATCAGTCACTGCAGCTGAGTTTTGCCGTGCTGTCATCCCGAGCGATCTTCATGTTCCGGTGAATTCGGCTGTCGTTCATTTAAAATACACTCGCCTTGAACAGTTTGTTTCCTACCTTGTCATGTGAAAAAACTCGCGTATTTTTATGAGCCATAATTCGGCTGAAGTTCACTGAACATTCCACTTCAAGATTTTGTATTAGAGACTTAACTTCAGGCAAAAGTGTTAAATTCGACCTGCCGAACTATTTTAATTTGTAAACTATCGCAGAATGTGAACTTTGATGGTTTGACACTTTTGACAGCTTTAGTCTTGTACAGCCAATCAGATTACTTGAACCATTCTAACAGGGATTCTGATTGGCTTATTGAAGCGTGCTTTATGAGAGTATAGAGCATGCTGACGACACTGTTGTTCGCTTTGGGAATAAAATTTGTTTTGAAAATTGAAAGTAATGCTCGGGGAATTTAACGGATTCTTTATAATAAAACAAATAGAGAAGCCTTGACTGTGCTCTGTTCTGTTATAAAGCACTTAGGAAGCGGCTAGTCGAGTGTTTCTCCCTACACTTCTTTCGTGCTCTAGCCGCTTCCTGCGTGCTCTATAACAGAACAGAGCACAGTCAAGGCTTCTCTATTTGTTAAACGTGATCTTTTTGTTTTCGTGTTTATTGATAATAAATAAGGCCCTTTTGAGAAGCCATATCATAAACTCGAGCGTCGTGTTTCAACAGGATACCTAGATAGCCAAGGGCTGCTCTTTCTTAGTTCCTTTTTTTTGTTTGTTTGTTTGTTCGTTTTTTTTTTATATGGTCCATATTTAGAGGGATGACCGAAGAAATACCTACAAGAATTTTACAGATCTTGAGACGCGCCATCCGTAGTAACGAATGCACTTCGTTTGAAACTGGTGTCAAACTTGTCATACCCATCCGTTTAGATGTCAATTCATCTCGTGTCAGAGTCATGTTACCTAACGCTTTTCTTTGGGGATTCATTCCCGAAATTATTTGGCAACATTTTGATAGATTCAGACTCAGTATCATACCAGAAAGAAAAGGACATTTATTTCAATTTTTACATTTTTCTCTCTTTCCCATGTACCTTTTTTTCAAAGAAAGGAGTATTATAGAAAAATTCACTGCCTGACGAGTGAAATCCACGTTAAATTTCACGCTAAAAACCGATATCACACGAATCGCTTTTCTTGAATCGCATAACTGAATTAAAATAAGAAAAAAACATACATTAATAGTATTGTTTGTTTTTATCCTGAGCGCGCGCCCCCAGAAAGCCATTTCAAAGTCAACTGTCAGAACTGTCATTACGTCAGCGAATAGGAAGCAAGGTCAGTCGTACACGTTTGAATCTTCAACAACTCACTCAACAACTTTATTTGTACCTTGTGCTTGTTTCTTCAATTGTTTTCAGACTTCTCAAACAAGCCTCACGCTGTCTTAAGGATAATAGTGGTATTTCATTGAATTTACAAGCCGTTTATCTTTAACATCTTTTTCAAATTTCCAAATCATTTGCTCAAGAACGAAGATAATTTACACCTTTTAGCTCTTTGGTGGCAAAACTGAAAGAGATGAGGTGTCCAAGGGAAAGCACTGAAAGTTTAATATCGCGATTAAAGGTATTTATTTCTTCTTCTGTATATATGACAATCGACCTTGGCACTTCTTTCGTT